CGAGATGGAGAAGCACAAGAAGTTTGCTGAGCAGACGCTGCGGCAGAAGGCGCAGGTGGAGCAGGAGCTGACCAAGGTGAAGCTGCAGCTGGACGAGACGGACCATCAGAAGGGCATCCTGGACGAGGAGCTGCAGCGGCTGAAGGAGGAGGTGACGGATGCCGTCCGGCAGAAGGCCCAGGTGGAGGAGGAGCTCTTCAAGGTCCGGGTGCAGATGGAGGAGCTGGCCAAGCTGAAGAGCCGGATCGAGGAGGAGAACAAGGCGCTGATCCTCAAGGACAAGGACAACACGCAGAAGTTCCTGGCGGAGGAGGCTGAGAAGATGAAGCAGGTGGCGGAGGAGGTGGCCCGGCTGAGCGTGGAGGCGCAGGAGGCCGCCCGCATGCGGCAGCTGGCCGAGGACGACCTGGCACAGCAGCGGGCGCTGGCGGAGAAGATGCTGAAGGAGAAGATGCAGGCGGTGCAGGAGGCCACACGGCTGCGGGCCGAGGCTGAGATGCTGCAGAAACAGAAGGACCTGGCGCAGGAACACGCCAAGCGGCTGCAGGAGGACAAGGAGCAGATGCAGCAGCGCCTGGCTGAGGAGACCGAGGGCTTCCAGAAGACACTGGAGGCCGAGCGCCGGCGGCAGCTGGACATCACGGCCGAGGCTGAGCGCCTCAAGGTGCAAGTGGCGGAGATGAGCATGGCCCAGGCCAAGGCTGAGGAGGAAGCCAAGCGGTTCAAGAAGCAGGCGGAGGAGATCAGTGAGAGGCTGCACGAGACCGAGCTGGCCACGCAGGAGAAGATGACGCTGGTGCAGACCCTGGAGATCCAGCGGCACCAGAGCGATGAGGATGCGGAGAAGCTGCGGAAGGCCATTGCCGACCTGGAGAAGGAGAAGGAGAAGCTGAAGCAGGAGGCGGCGCTGCTGCAGCAGAAGGCAGAGGAGGTACTGGGCTGTGGGTCCCCCTTAGCTGTGGTGGTACGCAGGGAGGCCGTCCCTCTCCCCAGCCACCCCACACCACCCCTGGCCAGGCCCCCAGGGACCATCACTGGGGATGGTGGGGCAGGACCCCCTGTGCAGGTCAAGGATGCTACCTTCAGTCGGGGACACTGAAGCAAACCCCGCAGGCAGTGTTGGAGTGGGACCCCCAGCCCCTCTCCTGCTGTGGAGGAGGGATCCCCACCACCCGGGCCGGCTCTTCAGCCCTGTGCTGTGTCCTGCCGTGTTCCTCTCTGTGCCCACTTCCCAGCCTCAGTGCTGGAGGATCCCTTGTGTCCTCCCCCTGTTTGTCCTGCCCCGTGTCGTGTGTGTGGCTCCCTAACCCCGGCTCTGCTCTTTAACTCTTCCCCGACATAGCGGAGTGTGTGGGTGACTCTGTGTTCCCCGGTGCCACCCCTGCTGCCCCATGCCCCATGCCCCCACCCTCAGTCCTCCCCACTGCCCTCCTGGGTGTCTGACCATACTGTCCTCTCTCCCACCCCAGATGCAGGTGGCCCAGCAGGCTCAGCTCCGTCAGGAGACACAGCTCCTCCAGCAGAGCTTCCTGACGGAGAAGGATGCCCTGCTGCAGAAGGAGAAGTTCATCGAGGAGGAGAAATCGAAGCTGGAGAAGCTCTTTAAGGACGAGGTGAACAAAGCCCAGAACCTGAAGGCAGAGCAGGAGAGGCAGCAGCAGGAGATGGAGCAGGAGAAGCAGCAGTTGAAAGCCATGTTGGACGAAGCCAAGAAGCATCAAAGAGAAGCTGAGGAAAACGTCCGGCACAAGCAGGAGGAGCTGCAGCAGCTGGAGAGGCAGCGGCAGCAGCAGGAGAAACTTTTGGAAGAGGAGAACAAGAAGCTGAGGGAGAGGCTCGAGCAGATGCAGGAGGAGTACAAGGCCGCCCTGGCCCAGAGACGGGAGATCATGATCCAGACGGACGACCTGCCCGGGGAGGCCGCGGTTACGACGACGCAGCTGCTGGACATCAAGGCTGTGCCCAACGGCCGGGACGCGATGGACGGCCTAGCGCAGAACGGGGAGCCCGAGTTTGCCTTCGACGGCATCCGGCAGAAGGTGTCGGCAGAGAAGCTGGCTGACGCCGGCATCCTGAGCAGAGAGAACCTGGACAAGTTGTCGAAGGGAGTTGTGAGTGTGGACGAGCTCTCGCAGAGGGAGGACATCAAGAAGTACCTGCAGGGCAAGAGCAGCATCGCTGGCTTGCTGATCAAACCCACCAACCAGAAGATGAGCATCTACGAGGCCATGAAGAAGAAGCTGCTCAGCCCAGGCACAGCGCTGGTGCTCCTGGAGGCTCAGGCTGCCTCCGGCTTCATCATTGATCCCGTGCAGAACGTGAGGCTCTCAGTGAACGAGGCGGTGCGAGAGGGTGTGATTGGGCCTGAGCTGCACAACAAGATGCTGTCGGCTGAGAGGGCTGTCACCGGCTACAAGGACCCCTACACGGGCGACAAGATCTCCCTCTTCCAGGCCATGACGAAGGATCTCATCGTCAGGGACCACGGCATCCGCCTGCTCGAGGCCCAGATCGCCACCGGCGGCATCATCGACCCCGTGCACAGCCACCGCCTGCCCGTGGAAGCGGCCTACAAACGGGGCTACTTCGATGAGGAGATGAACCAGGTCCTGTCCGACCCCACTGACGACACCAAGGGCTTCTTCGACCCCAACACTCAGGAGAACCTGACCTACCTGCAGCTGATGGAGCGGTGCGTGACTGACCCCGACACGGGGCTGTGTCTCCTGCCGCTCACTGACCAGGCAGCCAAGGCGAGGGAGCAGCTGGTCTACACTGACAAGGAAGCCAAGGACGTCTTCAAGAAGGCCACGGTGACAGCCCCGTTTGGCAAGTTCCAAGGGAAGACGATGACCATCTGGGAGCTCATCAACTCTGAATACTTCACTGAGGACCAAAGGCGGGACCTGATCCAGCAGTACAGGACTGGCAAGATCACAGTGGAGAAGATCATCAAGATCATCATCACGGTTGTGGAGGAAAGCGAGAAAAAGAGCCAGATGTGCTTCGAGGGCCTGCGGGCGCCCGTGCCCGCTGCCGAACTGCTGGAAAGCAAGGTCATCAACAAGGACCTCTACAACCAGCTGCACCAGGGCAAGAAATCCGTGAAAGACGTGGCGGAGATGGAGTCTGTGCGGCAGTACCTGAAGGGCACGGATGCCATCGCCGGTGTCCTGGTGGAGTCGACGGGCCAGAAGCTCACCTTCTATGAGGCCCTGAAGAGAAACCTGCTGAAGCCAGAGGTTGCCCTCTCCCTGCTGGAGGCACAAGCTGCCACTGGCTACATCATTGACCCCGTGGGGAACAAGCTCTTCTCCGTGGATGAGGCGGTGAAGGCTGAGGTGGTGGGGCCGGAGTTCCACGAGAAGCTGCTGTCGGCGGAGAAGGCGGTGACCGGCTACAAGGATCCCTACACAGGCCAGACGGTTTCCCTCTACCAAGCGCTCAGGAAGGGCCTCATCCCCAGTGACACGGGGCTCCGGCTGCTGGACGTCCAGCTCGCCACTGGTGGCATCATCGACCCTGTCAACAGCCACCGGCTCCCGCTCGAGGTCGCCTACAAGCGCGGCTACTTCGACCCCGAGGTAAACGAGGCTCTGACTGAGCTCCGAGATGACGCCAAGGCTTTCTACTGCCCCAACACCCAGGAACACCTCACCTACGCCCAGCTGCAGAAGAGCTGCCACCGTGACAAGCAGACTGGCCTGTGCCTGCTGCCCCTGTCCGACAAGGCCATCCAGTCGCAGCAGGAGGAGGTCTACACCGACAGCCAGGCCAAGGAGTGCTTCGACAAGACCACCATAGAGGTCCCGGTGGGCAGCATGAAGGGCCGGACGATGACCATCTGGGATCTGATCCACTCTGAGTACTTCACGGAGGAGCACAGGAGGGAGCTCCTCCGACAGTACAAAACCGGCAAGGTGACCATCGAGAAGATCATCAAGATCGTGATCACCATCATCGAGGAGGCGGAGACCAAAAAGCAGGAGAAGCTGACGTTCAGCGGTCTGCGGGCGCCGGTGCCGGCCAGCGAGCTGCTGGAGTCCCGCATCATCAGCAAAGCCCAGTACGAGCAGCTGAAGGAAGGCAAGAAGACGGTGAAGGACCTCTCTGAGACAGATGCAGTGAGGAGGTTCCTGCACGGCAGCGACTGCATTGCTGGCGTCTACGTGGAGGCCACCAAGGAGAAGCTGAACATCTATGAGGCCATGAAGAGGAACCTGCTGACGCCCGGCACCGCTGTGGTCCTCCTGGAGGCCCAGGCAGCCACTGGGTTCTTGATCGACCCCGTGAAGAACCGTAAACTGTACGTCAACGAGGCAGTGAAGGCTGGTGTCGTCGGGCCTGAGCTGCACGAGAAGCTGCTGTCAGCTGAGAAGGCTGTCACCGGCTACAAGGACCCCTACTCGGGCGACACCATCTCGCTCTTCCAGGCCATGAAGAAAGGGCTCATCGTCAGGGACCACGGCATCCGCCTGCTCGAGGCCCAGATCGCCACCGGCGGCATCATCGACCCCGTGCACAGCCA